ACCCTGGCGAGTTGGGTTCCCCTTTCCCCCTGTCATTCCCTTAATGCTTGTGACACGGAGGCTACAATTAAGGGAAAGACGGTCCCCTCACAAGACGGGGAAGGTTCTTGATTTGCTCTGCTTCACCCCAGTCGAGTTATTTCGCAGCAAGCAAAGTTGGCACACTGTTGGTTCTCAAAATAGGAATCGGGCCCCAAAAAGGCGTAAGGGTTTCCTTCTGGCTTCCTTGCTAACAAACATCAACAGGGGGATATGTCTTGTTGAGAAGCAGCCTTGGGTGGGACAAGAGGACCCAAGATCCCAAAGATCCAGTCACAGGGGACCCTTGAAGTTGGTCCCTAGCGCGCTCGCGAGTCAGGCCTTTCGGAAGCTCTCTGAGAGCATGAGGCCCGCGAGCCGGTGGGAGTTGGGAAATGCCACAAGGAAAGCCCAGGACTTTTTTTTTTTTTTGGGGGGGGGGCGTTTGTGCACTTGAAGTCCGAGCAGGGTATTGCAAGTCAGAGCCGAGCTCACCCAAGGTCCCTTGAGAAGATTCTTAGCAATGTTGACCCCGGATCAATCAGCCCGTCCTATTAATGGGGGTGTTCCCTCCAAAAGTTTTGGAATCCCAACGGGAATTGGAACACCTCCAATTTAAAATCAGCCAGGGGTTCTACTTAGCCGGGTGCCCCACAGAAAAAGGTGCGCGTTATGATGGGCTGTTCAAAGGTAATCCTTAACCTTCGGTTACGCAACAGGTCCCTTTTGTAGTGGCTTCCCTATAAGGATTATGGATTCGGATTGGCCAACCCTCCATTTTGAACAGCCCAGTGCCAATTTCTGCAGAGCGGCTGTGGACCACACGTCCCCAAAGGCTTGGGAGGCAGCCGGCCGAAAAAAGCCGTCGGCCGTGTCGTGGCCAGAGCGCTGGCGGGCGGACAAGAGGAGCTTTTGTCAGGGGCTCAGTGGCGTCAATCTGGCGCTCTGGGTGTTTTTTGCTCAAACGACAGGGTTCCCTTTTAAAGTCCCTGTTGCGGGCTTTAATGGCTTGCAATTTGAAGTGAGATTGCTTTTGGTGTTCAAAGGGGAACAATCAATAAGCCACAGTCAAAACATGTCAACGCCCAGGTTAGGGGACAGTCTTCCTGCTTGTGCCAGGGCTTGATTGTAGTCAAATGCCCTGCCTCCCTGCTTCCCTGCCTCCCTGTTCCCCCATGGTTGCGCCCCCTTTCCTTCCCTTCTTCCCTTCTTTCCCTTTCCCTTTCATTGCCTCTCTTGCATTGGGTCGGTTTATCCTTCCATCCTTCCATCCTTCTCATCCTTTGTCCCTTTGTCTTGCGCTCCGCGGGCCTCGTTCTCGCATCCTTCCGTGTATCCCTCCTCCATTTATTCGTCCATACTCATACTTGTTTCCACATCTGTTTTGTTGCTGCTTAGGCAATGGTATGGAGTAACGTCCCCCCAGGTCCCACCCGGGACTGCCCAGTGCTGCTTCCCTCTGGCCTTTCATCTCTCATTTCTCCTTCTGTCCTTTGATCCTCTTTTTAGGGTTCAACCCCCATGAATAAAAGGAAGAGAGCGGGAAGCTGCGAGCGTGCGCTCTTTTTATTTTCACGTGTTGAGTGGAAACGCAAGTTGAACTATGTTTGTTTAAATCTTAGCCGAAGTGGAACCTCGATTGGACAGAACATGCTGTGTCATTAACATGTTGAATAGAATCATTCTATTTTAAATTCTACTATAGCACGGAAATGGTGTTTGGATTCATTCCTTATCAAATTATGCTTCAACGCGAACTTAATTGCAATGTTCTATTGGGAACAGATTCCCCTCTCAATTCTAGATGTAAGATGCAATTTCCAGTAGGATTCTGATCACGTCTTTCCTCAATCCCATTTAAATCCTATTCAAATTCAAGCTGAGTTTTAGAGAGCGGCTGTTGGCGGAGATGTGAATTGAGTACGAAAAACGCTACAAAACACTTTGTTTCATGGTGTTTTCTGACCATGGTAGTGCTGGGGCTAGTAAACACAAACAAGCACGATTTCGGGACCTCTGAATTCTTTCCTTCTGAAATCTACTTCATATCTTTATCAAATTCTGCTCAATTTCTTAACTGAAGTAAAATATGAATTGTTAAGGGACGACTCCAATCAAAGTTTCTTCTTTAAATTATATTTGTACATTATGATTATTCTATTTCAAGATAGATGCTACACGGGAGTGCCTTTGCAATAGAATTGCACTTACAAATCAGCAAGCATCTACACAACATGCATGAAACATTTTCGGGTCCTCTAGTTTCTTTTCTTATGAATTCTACTTGATATATTTATCAAGTTCTACTTACCATCTATCTCACATTGATATAATTTAATAAGGACATACTCCAAACATACTTTTTAGTTGATAGTGTGCTTTAAATGAGTATTTGTTTAATCCAAAATAGATGCTACACAGGATCTCCTGTCCAATCGAATTATCTTTGCAAATGAATAGAGATTTAAACAACACGTGTTTAACAGTTTTGGGACCTCTAGTTTCTTTCTTATGAACTCTACTTAATATGTTTATCAGAATAATTCTAACTAAAATCAAGAAGAATGCAGTAAGGAACGAGTCCAACCAGAGGAAACTATCTCTAACTTACTGTACTGGCTTGGAGGTGAACTACACCAGCGCACTTGATCACAGAAGCTCTTGCAAACAGGCCGGAAACGGTTCAGTACAAAAAACAACTCGAGACAACTAAAAACAACATATAGTCACATATTTTGCCGCCCCCCCCCCCCAAGTCAGGACAGCTGATAGAGTGCTTTTTGTGTGTTTTAACCAACAACCCCACCCCCCAAAAAAGAAAAAGAAAAACCAAGACTATCCCCCCCCTCAAGTCAGGACAGCTGACATAGTCTTGGCCCCCTGTTTTTTGGTTTTCTCAAGGTTTCTCACACTTTTCCAAAGAAGTGCAAAAACCTTGAACACTAGAAACAAACAAAAGAACAAACACAACACAAAAACCAAGATTAACCCCCCCCAAATCATGACAGCTGACATAGCATTTTTATTTTTGTTTTTCTCGAGGTTTTTCACACTTTTCCAAAGAAATGCAAAACAACATGTGTTTCCTGAAATAATCACTGTAAACACCCCAAAAAAGCGCATGCTCAGGGTGACCTGTTCTGTAAAAGAAAGGTTGACCCAATGTGGATGATGACAATCCTTAGGAAAACAATGGCGGTTGAAGTGAGCCCCATTCTTTTAATGGTGGTAACAAGGAATCCCAGGGCTTCTATTTGTCTGTCCTTCGCTTTCTTGCGGAGTCCCACCTCCTACCTCAGGAACTGCCTCTTCCCCAAGCGCTCTCCTCAGCGGTTGGGCGGGAAAGGGAACGGCCAGCTCTGGTGGTTGGGAAAGGGAAGGCCAGTTTTTTTTGTATCTGGAAACCTTCGGTTTTCGTCTGTTGTCGTTTTCATGTTTTTCTTTCCTGGAAACCCTCAGTTTTCGTCTAGGTACCTGCCAAGGCTTTGTATCTGACAGTCTATCTTCGCATTGTTTTTCTCTGGACACCTTCGGTTTTCGTCTGGTCTTAGCTTTGCCAATGTTTTTTTTTTTTTTTTTTTTTTTTTTTTTTTTTTTTTTTTTTTTAAGTTTTTTTAGTTTTTAAGCGAAGGCTTTGTATCTGACAATTTCTCTTCGTAACTGTCTCTGAACATTTTCCTTTTTCATCTGTTAAGCACCCTTTTGTTCGCGGCTCATGTGTGCAGAATGCAAAGGATCACATCCCTTGCGAACTAGGAGCAGGCCAAGCCTTGCATCACGTTGTTGTTGTATTCTGAGTATTGTATTTTGAGTATCGCCTCAGTGTGCCGTTTGGGGAGTTCTGCGTTTCGCGCCAGAAAGGCGGGGAATTGGAAGACAGTGTTCCACAAGTGAGCAGCTCGTGGGAGATCTGAACGGGCTTGGCTTTCGCCCAGGTTCCTTCCAATTCGCGCGATGACGGGAACTGAGCCCAATATGGCAGTGGTTGTCAAGCCTATGGCATCCCATTTTGGTTGGTAGGTGAATTCACCACCCATTTTAGAACCTATTTTAGTGTGGATTGGGATGTTCACCGGGGGTACGGGCTTTTGATTTTGACCCATGGCCATATTTGTTCAATCAACTTCTGGGGTACCCTTCATTTAGCGGGAGTCCTCCACTGTTTTGGAATTAATTCACCCGACGAATGTCTGGACTGCTCTTGGCGGTTCCCAGCCACGGTTCAGAAAGACTTCTAGATTCATAGATTTTAGAGGGATTTATGACGTAGCCCAGAAAAAGTCTAACTTTTACTTTGGATCAAGAAACCACGAAGCTGGGTTTGCTTTGTTACTCGCGAGTTGCTGAACATCTCAAGAAAGCAGGGAGGATACTGGCGTTCTTGCAGAACCGTGGTTGCATTTCGCGGAGTCAAACTGACTTTGGGGGTTGGTATCCCTCGAAACCACCATTTAGCTCGGGTATTTTTTTTCGGCTGACGCTGTACACCAACCCTCTGGATCGCCGCATTCGCAGCCAAGGCCCTGAGTCATGATCGGGCCGTTTGTGTTTTTCGTTGTTTTTCGGAAGCAGAAGAAACGATTGGGCACCACATTGACCGCTTCAAGCTCCTTTGCACTTTTGTGCATGCATAGCACGAGAGGCTTGCAGATGTGTGTTGCTTGGCTTCCGTCGTAATGTTGCCAAGGGTCATGGTACTAGCAAGCAGCACCAGGAGTCAAACAACACCAACAGCGCTCTTTGTCGATTGCAAGCCAACTGAGTGATTTCCGCCTTTTGCAGATCATGCAGACTGCATGGGCAAGTTCCCCGTGCCAGCACAGAGCATTTGAACCGTTTCACCTTAGCGGAGGAACCGCTTCCCCACCTAACAGTCTCAGCATTTGGGTCTCGGGTCAGATCGACGGAGGTTCTTGAGCACCAGCCAAAGCTTTGGGCTGCACTTCGTTTGATCGTCGGAGCGGCACTGCGATGGAGTGGCCATGAGCGGCGTCAAGAGCGGGCCATTCGCAAGGAGAGGGTCGTGGACCGTTCGGGGGGACTTGTGCCTCCCCCCCCCCCCCCGAAATGGGGGTCCTGAAATTGCGTTGAATTGCTGCTCGAAAGGGGACTTTTCCAGACATGGCGTTGAATTCCCCTGTGAACCATCCAAAAAAGGCGACCCTTAAGTTCTGTATCGAAGAGGGCGCAGACGGGTGGTTGCCCGCAGTCCATTCGACCAGAGCCTGGGGGTATCCTGCAAAATTCGGGATTCGGAAAGGAGGCGCCTTGCAAGCAAGGGATACGTCCGGATACGTCAATTTGACCGGGTGTGAGATGGTTTCGCAGTTCTTGAGAACGCATGGGCGAGGGCGGGAAAGCTTTCAAGGTTGCTTGCGGAGGGCTGCTTGGTTGGTTGGTAACGCTGATTAAAACCCACCTTACCCCGAAGTAGCCTGCTTCCTGAGGTGGAGGATGCACATGTTAATTTCAGCGGCCTGGAACGCCATGGAACGTAGACATGTGGCATGTCATGACAGGCTAGAATTGCGCTCTTCTGCATTTCTTGAGGCAGACACCTTTCTCAAACATCCCTGTGCAAACATTTCATCAACTACCATTGGCCAGTTGTGTTCCTTCCATTTTTAAATGTCTCTCTTCAGGTAACCCTGGGTCGGTGGTTTGGATTGGAGGGGTTTGGGTGGTCTCGAGTGGTTCGAAACCATTGCTCTCTGAATTTTGCAGGGCCGAGTGCGTGCTGAAGATCTTGCGGGGTTTGGACACCGATGGCAAAGGCCGGTCTGGGGGTCTAGATGGGTTAAGGGACACCGCGACGGAATGTAAGCTGGAGGAAAACCCTCAAGCTCTGGCATCCAGGAAAGGGAGAAAGCGGCTCAGCTAAAGGCAACTCCTGGAAGAAAAGCCAAGTGTTGAATCCCGGATTCCCCAAACCCCTGGTTCATTTTCCTTCCGGGGGGTGTTCGTTTCCCGGGATCAACATGTCTGTCTGTGTCCCCAGATGCATGAACTGCTGGTTGATCTTGATTGCGTGGTGTCCCCTTTTGAGTGGGGATTCTGACCACTGTTGGAGGAGTACCCCATTTTTGTGCGGGTTTAGAAGGAAACCAAAAGGAACACCACGCACTTTAGGAGTCCCGCCAAAAAAGAGACACACACACACACACACCCATCTCTTCTCACAAGGACGGGCCTTCAAAGAGCGTGTTTCCAACTCTCCGAAGAGATGGCTCTAGCGAAACGAGGCAGACATTCTGCGGGAACATGCCCAGGCCGTGTTGCCATGCGTCCTAAGGTTTGTTCTGGGTCATTCTTTGCATGGCGGAAATTCTTCCAGGGGAGCATGAATTTCAACAAATATTTTTGGGATCCAAGACTTAAATCAGCTTTTGAAATTAAAGTGCACCAAATGCAGATGGTCAAGGCCCCGAGAGATTTGCAACCAGATTTGTGCGCGATCCAAGGGTCGAGCTGCTGCTTGAGCATAGCTTTTGGTGGGCAGAAGGTGTTGGTTCCTGCAGAAATCGCTTGGGTGACGCGAGCCAAGAGCGTCCTGGCAGGCTTCATTGCCCGCGAGCGCATGGCCAAGTTCATCTCTGCTCTTCTGCCGGAGGTGACTCTGGAGTCCATCGATCTGCTGCCCGGCCAGGTCCGAAGGGATCCATTTGGGCTCCTGTTTTGAGGCCGGCCCCTACCCCTCGTCTTTTTTTTGGTTTGGGTTTTTGTTCAAGGAAGACCAACGGAAAGCAGCGGTTTTGGGAGGTCTCTATTGACAAGCCCTTATGATGATAGCCCATGATGCTGACTGGCATAGTCGGAGATGCTGGCAAGGCATGGGAGAAGTTAAACCCTCCAAGATGCGAAAAAGGTTGGTGAAAAGGGTTTTCAGGGATCTTCACCAGTTTTTCGGCGGGGCCCCTCCTGACTCTTCAAAGCGTCCTTTTGGGACCTTCAAGCAAAGTCCCCCTAAGAGGGCCCTGCGGGTCACAAGGACTCTGCAACGAGAACCAATAAACAGAGCTCTCTGGATCGCCAGTGGCCGTTCCTTCCCAGCAGCTGTGACGGCTTTTTAGGGAAAGTGTCTGGACAAAAGCAGCATCTTGGCAATCTAGGTCTAACCGCCGCGTGCCACACACCTGTGGCGAGCCGATTTCCACACTGTAAACCAAGTTTCGGGGACAGAAGACCTTCCGACGGGCAACCAAGCCCTCTGATTCCCACATTTTGGCCCTGAAGAAACCTCACTTCTCCAGGTCTTTCAGAACCAACCAATTCCAATCCGAGTTGGGGGTGTCTTCTTTTAGGACCCCCCCCCCCCCCCGCAAAAGGGCAAAACGGATTTCCTTTGGTTTCCCTTCAACAAGTATGCCAAGCCAAGGGTACCATTGCTACCAACTCAAAAAGAGATGAGCCACCCACATGGTCGCCAAAGGCTCATGGATGCCAGCAGCCATGCGGATGCCGTGGCTCGGCTCCGTTTTTGTCGACATCGCGGAAGCGGTCGATGCGGACCCAAGCCGGGGGTTGACACCAAATCTACCCTAGAGAAAATATCAGATAGGGCCCAAGCAGCCGTCCTTTTTTTTTTTTCTTCCGGAGGGACTTTTTTTTTGTTTGGGACCTCCCAAAATTGGGTTGCAGGTTGATCTGAGTTTGCCTGCGCCGAAGTGGTTTCTGGTGTGCTTCGGACCGGAGGGTCCATTCATGGGCTTTCGGGACCCTGATCCGACGCTTCTTGCGAAAAGCGCCAAAAAAGAAGGGGTAGCCTCCAAGAAAGACGAGCCTGCCGTCCGGAACAAGGGACCCACTCGATTTTTGGACAGGAAGGTCACTTTGGAATCCATGTTTGTGTGTTCTTCAAGTGAGCTGTGACTTTGGCCGGCAGAGCTGCATCACCAGCGCCCAGTTTGGAAGCCACCGGACCCCAAAATCGGTGGGATGCCCAACCTGCCAACACCCCGCACCTGCCGCGGAGAAACGACACGCGTTGCGTCGCGCAAGCGACGATGATCTCGCGCAGTCTGAGACTTCCCCAACGGCCTTATTGTGGACGGTGGCGGACGGGTTTCGAACGGCTGTGTTGTGGACCCTAGAGCAACAGCCCCGAAATTGCAGGATTTCAGAAAGTGTCCTCTTGTAGACTTTTTTTGAGGTTCTAACTCCCTCCCCTGCCTCCCCTGAGATCCTGACCATTGGTGGAAAACTCAAACTGGGGCCCTTGAAGGGAAATTTGTTCTCAACCCGGATGTGCACCACAACCACAAAACCATCCTAGTACACAACCAGAACCAAAGTTAGCCATGGTCAAACTGGTGGGGCCTTGATCAACCGTCCTAGAACTCCATGGGAGCCACAATCAAAGCCCGGGTAAGTGAAGTTCAGTAAGAGACGATCCCAGCCATAAATAGCGGATATCCGCCTTCTTAGTTCTCGAAGCAAAGTTCTGGGATTGCGACCATTTTTGATACCGGGTTTTGCTTGTGACTCATGGGATTAATTTGTTCTCAACCCGGATATGCACCACAACCACAACACCATCCTAGTACACAACCAGAACCAAAGTTCGCCATGGTCAAACTGGGGCCCTTGTTCCCATTCCCGTTCTCCCACTCATTCCCGTTCCTGTTCCCAGTGTTATTCCCGTTCCCGCCCTATTCCCGTCCTACTTGGGATTTTTCGGCGGAGCGAGGCCCGGGTCTGGTACCAGGGCTTCATCGCCTGGCTCTTCGGCGGCAAATCCTTCTCCGCTTCCGGCGGATCGTCCGGCATCTCGGTGGCCACCTGGAACGTGGCGGCGGCGGCTTGACGGCGAAATTTGGTTTTGGGGGGGGACTGGGTGGGTTCCTTTTCTAGGGGTACCTTCCATTTCCATTCTTTCCAGGCATCCTTTGTCTAAAAAACCACCCAAAACCCTGGGGAAACAGCTGGTTTTTGAAAGAACGATGGTTGAACAGAATGGGGAATCAACCCCTGGACCTTTGGTTTCCCGTTAAACGCCTCTACAAAAGGTGTTTTCTTTTGGGTTTTCCTTTAAAAGCATCCCAACAAGGGTGTTCTCAAAAATGACCCACCAGTTGTTCCATTTTCTCAAACTGGCTGGGGAAAAGCTTGTTTGGATTAATAGTTCAAAAAAAAGCAAAAGGACACCGTTGCCATGTTTGGCGGGCTCCTATGTTGCGAAACCTCAAAGTAAGCCTGTCTGTGGCAGTTTGCTTGGAAACCCGGGTAAGAACTTTAAACCTTCTAAATACCACAGTCCAAACCACGAAGACACTGAAGCGCTCGTGCGGTGCCCAGGCATCCAGACATGAGAGCCAGGAAATGACACTTGGGCGCCGGTATGACTCAGCCGACGTTGCGGTGGATATGGGTATGGCTCAAAATGAAACTGGAGGGCTTGCGCAGGTTTTGGTCCATGTTTCCACTTACCAGGGTTCCATTTTGGTACCGGTTCTTTGAGCCAAAGCCATATAGGGATCCGACCACACAGAAATTCACAGAGTCCCCGACACAACTTGACTACCTGGTCCTTTCTTCTTGATTTTTCCACTCGGTCTTTCTTCTTCGTTTGATGTCCCGGGATTGGATTCAAGCTAGATTCAATCCACCTCCGTTCCCCCTGGGACACGTTTTGCCGACAGGGTCCCAAACGCTTGGTGTTTGCACCGTTAAGGCCGACCACGCAAGGCCGCGATTTGGGGATAAGCTCAGGGGTTTTCCTTCTTCCCACCAGAAAATATTTTAAGGAATCAACTGCACGAACAAAGTCCTTAGGAAAAGTGCGACAGTGCGCAGGCTTCCAGCCACACTCTTGGGGACGTGTGGGGTCCAAGTTGGAAGGTTGTGCTCGACGTGTGGAGTTTTCGCGCGTCAGAGTTTTGGAGCGAAAGATGCAAAGCGCGTTCCAGCCAGCAAGGAGTATGGCAAACAGCCGTGGCAAAGCAACTTGCCCAGCTTGTGGCTGTGACACGCAGGAGCGCGCATGCGCGCAGGAGCGCGCAGCTTTGAACGGACTTTGCCTAGGTCCCCCAGTAGTGCCCTTTTACCCTTTTCTTGGGGAGGGTTCCCCTACTAAAATAGACTACAGAAAAAAGGGTACCCTGATTCTACCCTCTCTGCTGGAGGACCTAGTTGCTGGGGACCCGAGCCTGGCAGATTGACGGTGTTCAGTTGCTAAGCGCGAGCCACTGGCCTTGCTCTCCGCACCTCATGTGGGGCTCCTGTGCCCGCTTGTGCTCGCGGTACGATTTTTGTTGAAACACCGAGCCATTGAGCCTATGGCGCGTGTTTCCAAAAAGAGAATCGGGCCCGAAATTGGCAGGTTTCCCTTTACTCACTTTCCAAGCTTTTGGACTTCAGATTTGGAAAGACTAGGTCGGCGGCACAGGAAGCCAGCTTAGTTTCCCCCTTAACCCTATCCAGAAGGCTGTCTCTAATACTAGAAAATCACTCACCTTGTCGACTCTTGCTTGCTTTTTGCTGTTTCTTTGCCCAGAGTGCGAGGCGTGTGAACGGTCGTCGTTGCAGATACCAATCAATGGTTCTTGTGCGACTTCGGCGCAACACACTCTTCTGTGCTAGAGATTAGGATCCTGGTGCATTGAAAGGAAAACGCAGGCAATCCCAACAATTGTGACATAGTGAAATACCCTTTTACTTGGGACTGTCTCACTGTCTTCGGCCCTTTCAAGGGACTTTAGATCTTTGTAAGGGCTCTACGGGCCCCTCTGCTCACTGACGATTTGATTGCTTCTCGTATTTCCATCTGTGACGGCATCATCTCTTGCGTGGATCGTGCTAATGCGATGATTCAGGAGTAGCCTCCTCTCATTCTGCTATTCACGACCTCGTGCCACAATGCCTAATAATTACTCAACCCGTGGACCTCGTGCAGTTTTTGCGGGGCCAGTTCGGTGCTTGACAGCGTGTTGCGACAACCCGGGACAACGTGTGCAGTTTGAAGACTTTTTGTGGCTTCGCTCTAGGGCAATCCGGGCCGTGCGACCATGGCGCCAAACCCCATGTCACGTGGCCTTTTTCTGCGCGCGCGATGGGCGGGTTGGCGCGTCCTAGCTTGGAGGGGGGCGCGTCGTAGCTTGGAGGGAAGTAGTTCATGAAGCTCGCGTCTCGCAAGGTTTTTTTAATAAAAAGTTGCGTTGCATCCGTTCATGGGAGCGGCGAAGCTTGGGCGTGGTCTGTTTCTTCAAGCCGAAGCCTCCTTTTCTTCTGTTGTTTGCTTTTGTTCGCCCCTGCTGACGTGCTCTTGCTGAATGTTCTTTTGGGAAACAAGTCTTGGCAACGCTGGTTCTTGGGCCCTCAAAGGCATGTTCAGTGCCTTTTTACTGAGTTTATCATTACTGGACAAAGTATAATTTCCTGGGGACGAAAAGCGCGTCTCCAGTCTCGCCCCTCCGTGGCCGCACTGTGTTGTCTTGTAGTGATTTGTTTGGGAATTAAGGGGAAAAGCGGGGCAATGGCTTATTGGAGTCAAAAAAGCCACGCGGAGGTCAACAACAACCCCTTTGAGTATTGGCTGTCGCACGACGATCCCAGCGTCTCCGATGCAGCCTGGGATTAGTCCTTTTTGAAGGGGCTACAAACCAACACCTGCCAAGGCCGAACAAACCGTGTGTTTACTTCATTGTTCTTGGCGTGCGTGTTTTTCTGTTTCTGGTCATTTTCAGTGCACAAGGTTGTGATGATATGTCAAGGTTTGGAAAGTTGACGTCATCCTCAAAAAGGTGCCCGCCAAACATACGCATCCGATCACCTTTTGTTCCGGGTCTCAAAATGTTTCTGGACGTTCGGGACGTTGCAGAGCTTCAGGGCTGGAGGGATTTCCCAGTTCGTTGGCTGAAATTGATTGCCGGATCACGGCTCGGAACGGTGACCGCCAGGGGTAGGGTGGTTTGCCCAGCACAGGTCCGGGGAACTGCGTTTGCTGGGATTGCGCAACGTTTGCTTAAAGAACCAGGCCCGGCCCCCCTTTAAAGGTAAACCTGCAGGAGGTTGTTCAAACACTGCTTGGTGGTTCTCAGCCCTTCCAGTTTTTTAGGGTTTATATAGTGGTAGCTTCCATTTATCCCACTAAACATATTCACTAGTAGCAGGGATCAGAAAATGGACAGCCCAGTCAAATTCTCGTGGTTTAGTCCCATGGTTGAGGCTATACCAAGCTTATGGTGGCCATGGAAGAGTCTTTGGAGAAGCCTGAGCTGGACGTGCCCGTGGGCCCCTTGGGCGCGAGAGAAGAACACCACTTGGGCCACCGGCCTTGTACTTGGTCTGGCGGATAGCTAAGTGGTTAGTAAGCCTGGTTGTAACCCACTTAGCATGGTTGTAAGTCCCCTATAACCAGGGTTACCAACCATTTAGCGATTTGTCTAAGACGTCTAATTTGGGTCTGGAAATCGAGGGGCCCCCGCATCTTGTTGCGGGTTTCATGTTTCCCTTTACCCCCCCCCCCCCTCCCCCTTCTGGGGTAACCTTGAAAAAGACAAGCCCATTTTTTTGAGCAAAGGGAAGCATGGTCCGGGTCTTCAATCCGACTCCAGCGTCGTCCCTGGAGATGACACAAGTGGTTGGCAAGTGCTCTAGCTTTATTTTGAGATGACGCAAGTGGTTTGCATGTCTAATTGCTTCCTGTGGAATGCTTGTTGCACCCACACAACAACGATGTTCACCACCGTTCCGGAACCAGGATTCTTGAGATGCAAGCTGAATTTTGCGTCAGCTCGGCGTTTCTATTTCCAGGTCTAGCTGACGGGAAGAGAGCAGCAAGCGCAGTCCTTAAACTTACATGCTCCTATGGCCTGTCAATTGCAGCAGCAAAAATGCGATGAGTGCGCAGGACAAATACACTCTTGGTTGATTGGTCCTGTCACAGGATCAAACCCTGGTTGACCAACAAAATCCTTCCCTTTTGGAGGAAGCTCCCACCCATTTCTCAGGGAAGGAGGGAATCAGCGCTACGAACTATGCCATTGGAGCTTCTGTTTGGGATTTTGGGGAATCCCAACAGTCCATTTTACAAAACCCCTCTTGATTCCACTGATTGAACCAGCACGGAGGTAAGGATGGTGGACACAAGTTCCTGTTGAAAGCCGCAACCTCCAACTTTTCCCAACCGCCCCCCACCTGCCCCAACAACCCTTAAAACCCCCCGCCGCAACAACCTCCAACTCTCCCCAAAGCTGATAAGACCTCTGTTGCGTTGCCAGGGCTCCTTCAAATAACACAGTTCGGCGTTTGACAGGTTAGTTCAAGAACGCATTGGGTTACCCTCACAATTTTTACAAGTTTGCCAGACCCCCCCCCCCCATCCCCAAAGCCTTCCGCCCACTCCCCAACCCCCCCTCAAGAAAAAAACAATCTTCCCCCCCAACAATCCCCAACCCCCCCCCCATCC